CACCTCCACCGCGCCAGTCAAACCTGCCAGCTTCAGTGCTTCCGAGCCTGCAGGCAAGGCGCTCCCCCCTCCACCATGGCCAGGGCGCTGACCATCCCTGACAGGCGCATGTTCACCCTCCCCTCCTCCAGGCCGAGCCAGGCTGGATGCCACCCCCCCCCCAAGTCAGCTGTGTCTCCCCAGGGCCCCAAGCACTGGGAGAGCCACAGGGCAGGGGGCGAGCTGCATCAGCACGTGGCCTTGCTGCTCCTGGAGGGAGTCTCCTCAGAGACTGGCTCCGAGCCTCTGAAGGGCGGCCCGGCCGGGGAGGGGCCGCCCCTGCAGCTGGTCAGCACTCCCCCGCTCTTGAAGTCCGGGCTTGGCCACACTGCGCGCTCACGTGTCTAGGTCTCGGAGGACCAACACCGTTCCCCACCCCAGCGAGGCACGCAGGGAGAACTTCACCCAACAGAGGCTGAGGGTCCAGGCTCTTCCTTCTGACCTCACCCGTCCCGCCAGCCTCAAAACCTCAGGGGCCCGCAGAGACCACTTGGGCTTGGGCTGCACCCCCTCACTGGGGCAGTCTTGACTGAACCGATTCAGACCACAAAGTTTGTGTGTCCGGGACTCCAGACGCAGAGAAAGGAAGGACAAGGTCTCTGAGGGTCGCACGCAGATTTTGTATCTTAAGGACTAGCAATCGGGCAGACACTGGGTCTTACACTTGGTTTTTGCACTAAAGCATCATGCAGGCAGGAAACGCCTGGGCATTCATTCGGTGGCTTAGCATGAAGACAAAGTCACTGAGAAGGCCCCGCCAGAGCCTGGGGCCCCTTCCAAAGAAAGACTACTCCCCAAGGCGGCCAGGCTCCCTCTGGGGGGCGGGGGGCGGGGGGTGGGCACTGCACGTGGGCTTCCAGAGACAGAGCCTGGGGGGGCTGTGCCCACAGGGCTGAGGGCACAGAGTGCCGTGTGTGCGCACGCTCAGTCATGTCCAACTCTTGGTAACCCTATGGGCTGCAGTCTGCCGGGGTCCTCGGTCCATGGGATTCTCCAGGCGAGAATACTGGAGTGGGTGGCCGTTTCTTCCTCCAAGGTATCTTCTTGCCCCAGGGATTGAACCTGTGTCTCCAGCATTACAGGCAGACTCTTGACCTCTGAGTCACTAGGGAAGTCTAGGGTTACAGAAGCCGCCCACCTAGGCCGCCTCCCGCCGCCTGGAGAAGGCCCAGCAGGTTTGCGGACATTCAGCTGGCGGGGGAGACAGCCACTTTCCCCGGCCTCACCAGCTCCACCCTCGTCCCTTGAATAGCTGTTTCCTCCACACCCTGAGCAGCCTGGGACCTGCTCAGCCCACCAGCTCTACCCACCCGTCGCTCACAGACCTCCGCGTTTCCTGTCTCCAACCCCTCAGAGGAAAACCCCACATTTTCTGTTATTGTTTACCAACCCAGCGGCCTCAAGCCGAGCAGGAACGTGGTCTCAGCCTAGACCACAGTCTCCGCTTCAAACCTGGGCTTTCCCAAGCCCTTCCGGCAGGGCAGCCCACCAGAGGGCGGGACACAGACGTGAGGAGAGCCGCCGGGCTGGATGAGACGTCCAAGTCCACCGTCTCATTGCACTCAATGCCCCCAAGGCCGAGGAGAGCCACCGCCATTCCCCAGAAACAGAAACGTGCCCGGGGGAGAGGAAGCCCGCTGTCTCCCTGCCTGACCTGGCTCTCCTGGCTCTCCCCTTATTTTGGTGGGGTTTTGTTTTTTTAAGAAGCTCTAAACTTGGAAGCAGGAGATCCAAATCAGATCGACCTCTGCTTAGTCATGAGGCCTTGGAGTCATTTCACTCCTCTGAGGCTGAGTTTTCTTCTTCATTTTACTCCTCTGAGGTCAGCTGGAGGCTAGACCAACTCCCCTGGAGGCCTTTTATGACAGTGAAGAGAGCCAGGGGATCGCCCAGCGCAGCACCAGGGCCTCCTAGGTGCCCAAGAGTGCCCACAGGCCTTCTCCACCTCTCACACCACTTGAGGGTGTTCGACAATAATATCCTATGTTGCTTCCTCCAACTCTGCCAGCCAGTATCTGCCTTTAGGTACAAAAGTTTCCCCACCACCCCACCTGGGAATTTAGCAGAAGGAGGTAACGTGCTTCCCAGAGGCAGAGAATCGCAGGGTGATGCCAGCATGGACCATCAGGGGCTTGGAGAGGGTAGAGAGGTGTGGTAAGGCCATTCTCATCAAGCCAGGCCCCTCCTGCCCTTCACCCTAGCCACCCTCCCCACATGTCAGGTCCAGTCTGTGAACCCGGCTGACCCGGGCGGAGGAGGAAGCAGAACGTGGGGCTAACGTGGGGCAGGTGGACAAGGTGACATGACACGGGCCTCGGGGACGGGGCAGCGGCCCCACGACGCTCACAGCCAACCCCGGGACCTGGGAACACGCCGCCTCACGGCAAAGGGGCTCTGCCGGTGGGACTGAGGCAAAGGGCCGCTGCAGTGTCTGCGGAGGCCTCCTCTGACTACACAGGTCCTTCAAAGCAGAAGCTCCTTCCTGGCGAGGTCAGAGCGATGGGACGTGGCTGGCTTTGAAGACGGAGGGAGAGGGCCTCAAGCCAAGAATGGAACCGTCTCTGGAAGCTGCAAAGGCTTCAGAGAGAAACGCAGCCCAGCCAGCCCCGTGTCGATCTCAGACAAGGGGACCATCATACTCCTGACCTCAGAAGTCTAACAATTAAACGTGTGGTATTAGAGCGGCAGCAGGAAACTAGCACGGCCTCCAAAGAGAGCAGCGCAGTGGGAAGCGTCCCCCTGCACCCCAACTCCCGCCCCATCACCCCTTAGTCTCTCTTTCCCTGGGTTCTTATCACCGCTGATACCCACTTTAAGTGCAGACAACATGACTGGAGTTCTCTGACAGGAAAACTTCCTGCTGGCTCATTTGAGCAGTGGTTCTAGACATGGGCTGAGTTTCAAGGCAGGAGCCAACCACACTCAGGATTTCTGAGAGGTAGTTTGCGGGGGCCTTATCTCTGCCACGAGGCTGGGCAGGGGAGATGGGACCCCAGTGATGACTGGGGGTGAGCAGGCCTCTCCTCCAGGCAGGAGGAGGTCTTGGGACAAGAACACCCCAGGCCTCAGGATCCCTTCACTGTCTTTGCTTTTCTCACTCATAAAATAGGGATAGCCGTCCTGCCCTGCCCCTCTCCCTGACAGCTCTGAGGATCACATGAGAAAATGCAGGGAAACTCGGCAACAGCTCCTTTTCCACCTGACTGGGCGGGAGAGCAGTGAGGTCAGTAAGTCAATTTCTTCCTTAGGCGCTACCATGAGTCAATTCCCCGTGCGATCTCAAATACCCCGGGCCTCGGCCTTCGCATCTGCGGTCACGGGAGCGCTGAGGCCTCTTCCAGCCGATGGTTTGTTTTCTGCCTTCCGCCTGGCCCCCGGCACCCCCTACTGGAGCTTTCAGGAACTACGTCCACCTGCTCCTCCACACTCCCCGAGGATTTGGACCAATTCACCACCACCACCCTGTTTCTTCACAGTCCCCGAGCCAGCCCTGACCCTGACCCCGACCCCGACCCCGATCCCGACCCCCGGATGACGGTGTCAGCGTCTGGGGTGGCTAAACAGGTCTAAGACCGGGCTGGAAGCGGCTGGGCTCCTGACTCAGTAACTGGCAAAGCGTGCGGGTTCATGCCCGCAGGGCCCATGCCCAGGCCAGAGACGTCCCCAAGGCCCCCGACAGGGCGGGCGCTGGCTCCCTTGGGCCGCAGGCTCGCCTCTCCGCCACAGGATACCCCGACTCTGCCCTCCCCACACACGGAACCCCTCAGCACACGTAGGAAGACGAGAGGTGGGGGGCGTCAAAGGGCTGAACCTCAGGAAGGAAGAGAGAAAGCCTTTCAACTATTAAATCTGTTTAGTAAAGACAATTTTGCTCATACAAAACGACAAGAGTTTACAACAGTCTGAGAGCTGGGCGCCGTCAGAGGCGGGGAGGCGCTGCGGGCATCGGCGCCCTGCCCTCGCACCCCGAGAAGGCCCCGGGCACCCCAGCCACGCCCGAGGGAGATGAGAGCTGGGGCATCACTGCCCCCTGCCCCGGGGCCCTCCCCACAGCGCTCCGGTTAACACGGGGCCTCCCCACCCCACACTGGCCTGGACACGTCGCTGAGTTGTTTGGGGCGGGGGGCGGGGGAGCGGCTGCTGGGAGAGGGGCAGAGTCGGGACATCTTTGGTGCGAAGCCTCCCCCACCCGCCTGCTGGGCCGCGCCACGGACACTTGCAGAGGCCACTGGGGGGCGCCCTCGCCCCCAAGGGGCTGCTGACCGACGCCCCGGAGCCCGGGAGGCACTCGCAAGCTCACCAACGTGGGCTGAGGGTGGGCCTGCTGCAAAACGGCTGCAGACTTGAGAGCGCACACCAGCAGGTTCAGGACGGCAGGAAGGGGGCGCAGAGGGGTAGCTAGGCGCCTCGGAGGAGGCCTAGGACCGGCACGAACGGGCGGAGGGTTCCGAGCAGGGCCCCCGTCTTCCTGGCGCTGCGCCAGTGGTTGGCGCGCCCTCGCCTGCGCCCGGAGCCGCCCACACAGGCGGCCGGGGCGGCCTGGCACAGGGCCCGGACAGGCTCCCAGGCACTTGGGCAGGCCCAACGCGGGCAGGGTGGGCGCGGGGGCTCGGGGGTTCCGAGCACATCAGGGGCCCCTCGCGCACAGGCACTGATCCGGGCGCGCGCACACACACACGCACACACACACTCACTCCTATCCGCCTGGCACACCGGGAACATCCGAGGGCTCAGCAGAGCCTCCGGGGCCCGGCCCCCACGGCCTGCAGCTCCTGGCAGGCCTCAGCCAGTGGGGACCTGGGGCCGTAGTGGGGAAGTCAGGGTACCAGCGGGGCCACGCAGGGACACCCTCGGGAGGGTTCCACGGACACCCTGGACACACCCCAAACCTTTGCAGTCTCCAGACAGGACGGGGATTGGGGGACACGGGCGGGAGTAAGGGCAAGAACGATAAAAGAAGGTTCGTAAAAATTCTAAGTCAAATTACTGATAAAATTGCCAAATGAGCACAGGGTCGAGAGCATGGTGCTCCCTCTCCCCAGGGCCGCAGCCTCCCAGGCGCCCCCTCAGGCAGGTGGCCAGAACCGAAGGCAGAACGCTGCCTCTGAAGAGGTCCCGGCCCCACGCGGCGGAGGAGGATGCGGAGCGGGAGGAGGCGGCTCTGGGTCTCTCTGTTTAAAAAATCCATCCCGGTCGAGAGTTATTGCTTGTCCTCCAGCGGAGCGGCAGGCCTGGCTCAGTGCGCGAGGGCCGCGGCCTCCAGGGCCCGCGCTTTCTTCCGCCTCTTCAGAAGCAGAGGGTTGGACGCATCTTCAATCTTTTTTATCTTGATCTGCTCGTAGTCGACCCGCATCGTGGCCAAGGCACTGGTCATCTCCTCCTGGGGGTGGCGACCGGGAGAGACGTCAGAGACCACAGACAGGCGGGAATGGGGTGACGTACGGGAGCGGAGACCGAGGGCAAGCCGGCCGTGAGCTCGCAGCCGGCTCAGCACAGCCCCTCTAGAGCCCAGAGTCCCCCAGCAAGCCTGGGGAAGCAAAACAGCACCAACTAGGAGCCGGGAGACCTGGACTCACATCTGCTCCAGCCAGTCATTAGCTGGGCATCCGTGAACAGGGCACCCCCCCACCCCAGGCCTCAGTTTCTCATCTGCAAAGTGAGGAGACTTTGCAGACGGCCTTGCAGGCCCTTTCAGAGGCAGAGTGTAACAACTGACAGGAAACAGCCACAGCCAATTTCAGACCACGCGGAAGCCTCTGCCCACAGACCGATCGGGGAAGCGGCTCAGAGCAGCCGTCCCTGCGGTACCAGACGACCCGGGGTGAGAGGACGCAGGGCCAGCCGCCTCCACGAGCGCCGCCGAGCCCCCCCGCCCGGCCAGGCGCCCCTCACCTTGACGTCCTCCCACCTCTCCTTGTCTTCCTTCAGGACCCGGCTGGTGTGCAGTGGGGTCTGAGGGACCTTCGTCGATTGCTGGGGGCAGAGGAAAGGGTCCGAGTGAAGACCTGGGGCGGGCTGGGGTCCGCAGGGACTGGCCCCATGGACCCAGGTGCCTCCAGCCCGCCGGGCTCACCATGATCCAGGGGTGGTTCATGAACTCGGTGATGGTCATCCTCTGGGTGGGCTCGGTCTTCAGCAGGTTCCGGATGAGCATCTTCACTGCGAGAGGAAAACAGGGTGCTCACAGGGGACAGAGACAGCTCAGGGGCCACCCTCCCCTCCTGCTCCTTCCCGTTTTCAGGGAGAAGCCAGACTCCAAGGGGGCGTGGACACAGACCACCCAAGATACTGGCCCCGAGACCATGACAGACAGTGCCACCAAGCCCTGGCCCTGCTGGGCCCTTCACATAGGCTGGTGTGGGCTGGGTGAAGACCCACAGCCGCATCACTGATGGGAGATCATCCCCACACACACACACAGAGGCAGGACCTATCCAGCAGGTGCGGCCTTGGTGAAGACCCACAGCCACATCACTGATGGGAGATCATCTCTACACACACACACACACACACACACGCTGGGTGAAGACCCACAGCCACATCACTGATGGGAGATCATCCCCACACACACACACAGAGGCAGGACATATCCAGCAGGTGCGGGCTTGGTGAAGACCCACAGCCACATCACTGATGGGAGATCATCTCTACACACACACACACACACACACACACACACAGGCAGGACATACCCAGCAGGTGCAGGCTCGGTGAAGACCCACAGCCACGTCCCTGATGGGGACACAGACACACACGGGCTCTTTACCTTCCTCTGATACTTCTGACCATTCTGGGTTGGGGAATTCATACTGGCCCATTCGGATGCGACTCTTCATGCCCGGAGAGATGGCAAGGCCGTGGTTGGAATAGAAGGGGGGGTACCCACATAGCCTGAGCCGAGAGGAAGTGGGAAGGGAAGAACAGAGCTGATGTTATTTAGGATCCTGCACCAGGATTTCTTGCGATGTTCACAGAGAAACCGGGACTCCCTGATTCAGGTACAAAGTCAGGGACAGGGCCTAGGAATCCAACATACTGAGTATCTAAACCACACATTTTCCTGCCCCTTAGCTAATCTGTAGCACTGTGCTGTCAGAGTTCACTCAACACTGAGAGGGGACATGCAGGACCTCCAGGACACCCCCCATCCAGAAGGGGATGCTAACCGCGGCCTCCTCCTCTCTCCCCAGAGGTAGAGGCTTCCGTCCACGCCTGCCCAGCCCGCGTCCCCAGGCCCCTCCCCACACTCACAGGATGTACATGATGACACCCAAGGACCACATGTCACAGGACTTGTCGTACTTCTCTGGGCCCAGCACCTCTGGAGCTGTAAACAAAGACGGAGGCAGTGGGCCTGGTCCTCAGAACGCCAGGATCCACCCAGGCCCTCTGTGGGTGGTGTCTCCACCTGACCCTTCAGCCCCTCACAACGGGACCGCAGCTAGGCCCGGAACGAGGACAGTGGTAGCCCAGGCCCAGGGCTGGGTAAAGGAGACCCAAAGACGCTCCTCCTGGGGGAGCCCAAGGGCCAGAATATCAAGATAAAGCAAGTCTTGAACTGCAAGAGTCTTTCAGACTGCCTTTTGGTTTGACAAACACATTTTGAGAGTTTCCTCTGTGCAGTCGACTGGGGGTCCTGGACCAGAGGCACATCCCAGATCTCCCTGGGGGTCTGATGGGAACAGAGCTCTTCTCAGTCAAAGTGCACACGTGCACAAAATTCCACCCGTAACCTCATGCACATAACTTCCTATACCACTTCAGGCCCAGCTGAGATCTGCTAAGCCTACTTCAGGTCAGGTCACCTCAGAACCGGGCTACAAAGGGCCAGGAGACACAACTCTCCTGGGCCCTGGGGCCCTGAGACCGAAAAGAGGAGGCTCTGGGAGAAGCTCCAGGCAAAGACAGGCTCTCCTAGGGCTCCGGAGGGTTTCTCCGGACTTACCCACGTAGTATGGTGTGTAACAAGGAGTGGTCAGAGAGTTGTGACTGGTGGTTTCCTTGGCAAAGCCAAAATCAGTGAGCTTGAGAATGGCGTTGGGCCTTTTGGAGGTGTATAAGAGGTTCTCAGGCTAGAGAGAGAGAGACAAGGAGCATCTCTGCTGAACTGGTGAGCGGCCGTCAGAAACCCACAGAGAAACGACTCCTCCCTTCCTTCCCGCCCTCCTTCAGCAACCGTCTGTCCAGCCCCTCCTGTCCCATCAGCACACCATCGGGACCCCCAGACCCCGCCTCCTGAGGGCTCACAGTGGGCATGGGAGTGAGACACTGACGCAGAGACAGGGTGAGCACCACAGGGACACAGACCGGAGGAGGGGCTGTGGGGGTGACTGAGGAGCACGGCCTCAGAAGGCTTCCCGGCCGAGAGGGGGGTTTGCCCAGAGAGGGCACGGCCTGCGGGGCAGAGAGTGGCTCTCTGCCCACCCTCCCCCAGGAGCCAGGCCACGGGAACGCAGGATGACCCTGGGGACCCTGGCCCCCACGGCCTCCAGGCCCACTGGGTTGGGGGCTGGGGGCCGCAGTATAAATAGCTGGTACCTTGACATCCCGATGGGCAATGTTGATCGAGTGCAAATACTGGATGGCCTCGCCGATGCTCTTCATGATCTCTGAGGCCTCTGCAGAGGAGACGGGAGCAGGGAGACAGAGCAAGTCACAAGATGTGTCCTTAGGTTTGAAAAGCCAACACCAGAGCCCCCCGGGGAAGCTTAAGGCCCCCGACGCCCCCACCCACCCCAGAAGGCGAGGCGCAGGAGTGGGCAGAGCCCAGCAGTAGGCGGGGAGGCGGGCCTGAGCACCTCCCCAGAGCAGGCCCCTGGAGCCCTGCTGCCCCGCCGCCCGGCAGGGCCCACAACAGACCCTTTCTACCTCGTTCCGTGAAGGCCTGGTCTCCTCGGTCCTGGATTCGACTGAACAGTTCTCCGCCGTCCAAACTGAAACAAGGCCACAGTGAGACGGGGGCCGTGACATCGCACTAGCACGCTCGCCACTGCCCCCCAAGAGGAACGAGGCGCTGGCGTTTTGAGTTTCAGCGCCCCCACCCGGCGGTCCTCAGGAGGAAAGGGGCGCAGGCAGGGAGCAGGGTCAGGCTGGGCAGGGAACCAGAGGGGAAGGCTGCTCACCACTCCATGACGATCAGCAGGCACTTCCGCCCCGCGTACAAGTTCTCGTAGACGTCCACGATGCGCACGATGTGCGGGCACTGTGAGGCTGCACTCTTGACGATCTGAGGAAACAGGGTGCTGGGCTGTGCTTAGAGGTGCCAGCTTGGGTGCCCAGGTGCTTCCGCCCCAGCCCAGCACCAGCCCTCTTGTCACGGCCCCGCACCCCCTCCCAAGCCTGACTTGGGGCTCTGCAGCTCTTATCTGCTCTAAAAGAAACGACAGGATGACCCCTTGTGAGGTCTCCACAGCCGACCAGAGACCACCCTTGACCACGCAGGGAAAGACGACTGGGCCTCTCCCCAGCTGAGGGCGTGAAGCCTACTCCAAAAGGCGGGCAGGGCTGAGCACTGGGAGGCAGAGGGTACAGGACACCTGGGTTGGAAGACAGACTGAGGAAAATCCAGACAACCATGGAAAGGGGCCTGGAGAGGGGAGCCTCCAGATCTGTTAGGGAAGGAAGCTCTAAGATGCCTAAAGCCAGCACACCAAATCCACAGCCATATATCCTCTCAACAGCAGACAGCCTAGGGAGCCAGCCAGTGTGATCTAACTCCTGGTTCTTAACAGATCCCCAATCTGGAGCAAGTCACTTACGTGAGGCCCATTCCTGTCCCCTCTTCTTTCGGGGACCAGGTGGCCAAGGTATTAAAGGAGCCCGGCTCCCTGACCTGCCTCAAAGGCCGAGACTTGACTAGTCTAAGCCGGTCTCATTAATCCCAAGGCCTTCAGTAAGACCTGACACTGGTCAGGTGGCACTGCAGGAGGCCGGCGCTCAGAGGGCACCACGTCCCCGCACGTGGCTCCCGGCGCCAGGGCAGCCGCCCAAGGGGCCCCTCGCGGTGGGGGTGATACAGCGGAGCACTACGGCCCCTGCTGGGAAGCGCACGAGTCTGAGTGAGGATCAGATGGCCAGGAAGGAGCCAGATTACACAGGAAGGGAAGAGAAAACCAGGTACTTCCAACAGTAAGACTGACACTCAGTTACGCTGTGGTCTATGACATGCTGCGCTCTGCCTAACTGTGCAACAGCTGCCCTTTTACAGGCTCAGAGAAGCCTGTGTCCCAGGCTCATGTCCTGGGGAAAGCCAGGGTTGGAATCCAGGCCACGTGGATTCCGAAGCCTAAACCTTTTCCACAATACCATGCAACTTTTAGAGGAGGGGTGGGAGCCAAGACTTGTTAGTCTCAGATCACCAAATGCAAACTGGTTTCACAGACCCAACCCCCGACAGGTGCCCAGATAACTCGCTCTCCTAAGCAGTCACCGTGGGGTCACAGTGCCACCTGGTGGCAGTCTAGGCACACCACAGATCCTGAGTTTTGCTCCCTGCAACTTCATTCATTCAAAAAGGTTATTTTCCCCTCCCACACACTATGAAAAGCAGGAAGAGACGCTGGCCAATCTCATTTGCAAGTATTTCAATTCAACAACCATTTTTAGAGCTCCTACTATGGACCACACATTGTGCTAGATGTCAAAACCAAAAAGAAGAGTCCCAGTCTGAAAGAGACGGTTGGATGGCATCACTGGACATGAGTCTGACCAACTTCCGGGAGATGGTGAAGGACAGGGAAGCCTGATGGGCTGCAGTCCACAGGGCTGCAAAGAGTCAGACACAACGGACTGACTGAACAATACCTGAAAGAACTCAAACTGGGGGCGGGGGCTGCAGGGAGGTCGCCAGGTAGAAAATGCTGATAGCCCAGTGAGATAACCTGCCAGGAGACTTCGAGGTTCAAAGAGTTCAAGAGAAAAGTGCTCGGAACAGCCTAAAAAGAAAGACCTCTATCGCCCTCTACAGGCTCACCGTGCTGAAGCCCAAGCTGTCGCATTCAGTCAGAGGCAACAGGAGGTCAAGGATCTGCAGACAGGAGAGACTTGGGCCTGGGTCAGAAATCTGTCCATTTCCGGTTGCACAGCCTTGGAGAGGCCGTCACCTTTTGAGCCTACTCCACATCTACAAGTCAGGGGTTAGAATATCTGCCTCCCTCCTTCACAGAGCCACTGCAAGCTTCTAATGACCTCTGGGCACGCTTTGTTATCAGAAAGGCGCTCCCCTCTGCAGACCATCAGCGTAACTGCCACAGCACAGAGGCCCTCTCCGTCACCTCTAAGTGAGGCTGGAACACCCCGATATAACCGACAAACCCGGATGTTACCAGTCACCAGCAAGACCGTGGGCTGGGTTTGTGTCTGCAGCCCCGTGACCAGTGCCTAGAAACCAGCTCTGCTCAAACTTTCCACAGCTGTGCTAAGTGAGCACACTGCTGCTGCTGCTGCTAAGTCACTTCAGTCATGTCCAACTCTGTGCGACCCCATGGACGGCAGCCCACCAGGCTCCTCCATCCAGTTCTTGCCAGTTTCTAGGCAAGAACACTGGAGTGGGTTGCCATTTCCTTCTCCAAGTGAGCACCCACCGAGGCCCAAACCCACATGCACTCCCCTCAGCCCCTCCTGAACTCAAAGCACACACCGCAGGTTCTGCCTGCTCTCTACCTTAGCACATCTGCGTGTGCGGCCAGGAAGCCTGGGTTCACATTCCGCCTTCAGATGTGCACACAATTCATCCCCTATCTGGCAGAGGACCTGGACTGACGCAGGACAACAAACCTGGCTCTGCGAATCATACAATTTGCATCCCAGTTCTGCACTTCTCAGCTGGTCAAAACAAGAGAACTGGACAGAGCAGTGCTTTCAAATTCTAAGAGAAACAGCATAAGAATCCCCCATGAACACCAGTAACTGACAGCCAGGGATGTATTAGACATCCTTGAATGGATATAAATATCAGCCCCCAGTGAAAGCAAGACCTGCGACCTGGTCAGCCTTCCAGGCTGGCTGATGTCACGGGGCAGAGCCGTGAAGAGCCAAAGAGGCCGTGTGGACAGCTGTGGGGTACAAGGCCGCGGAGAGGCAGGCAGGAATGTGCTAATCTGGAGGACTGGGCTAAGTAAAGACCCACAGGGGAGGTGCTGAGCTCTGGCCCCAGGAGCGTCGGGGAGAGAAAACAGGATTCTGGCGCACCGCCAGGGGCCACCAGCAGAGGAACGCAACGGGCTCGACCAGGAGCCAAGACAGTCACACGGGAAGGCTTCCACCTTCGGCCTGGACAAGGACAGGAGAGGCCAAGGGCCCAGGACCGCAGCCCCGAGGGCCCAGAGCTGAGGGAAGGAAGGGTCTTCCCACCAAAAAGCAGAGGCCCGAGACAAGGAATGCCTGAGGGGATCCTAAGGTATTTTAAGCCCATGCTAAGCCTGCAGTGGATACTGTGACTTGCTTCAGCCCCCTAGAGCTTGGCTCTGAAATCCCCTTCCCCGGTGGAGAAGGTTAACTGTCACATGTGCTAAACCGCAATGCAACAGGCAAGGCCACCTGCCTATAGGTGTGCCAGGAGCCAGGGGCCAGCCCAGCACCCGCCGCCTGGGGGGAGCCTCTCCCGAATGCCGGCCCATTACCACACAACCCAGCGATCCCCTGTCTGGGTGTCTGTCCAGGAAAACCACAGTTCAAAAAGACACATGCATCCCAGTGTTCAGAGCAGCACTATTTACAACAGCCAAGACAGGGAAGATGTGGTGCATAAATACAATGGAATATTACTCAGCCATGAAAAGAATGACATAATGCCATTTGTAGCAACATGGATGGACAGAGAGATTATCACACTAAGTGAAGCAAAGACAAATATCATATGATATCATTTATATGTAGAATCTAAAAAAATGATACAAATGAACTTATTTACAAAAGAGAAAAAGACTCACAGACAGAAGACAAATTTATGATTACCAATGGGAAAAGGGGAAGGGGAGGGATAAATTAGGAATTTGGGATCAGCAGATATACACTGCTTTATATAAAGTAGATAATCAACAAGAACCCCCTGCATAGCACAGGGAACTCTACTCAATATTCTGGGATAAACAAAGTGAGAGAAAAATCCACGAAGGAGTGAATACGCACACACCCAGAGCTGAGTCCCTCTGCTGTGCACCTGACACTACCACCACACTGTAAACCAACTATGTTCCAACTCAAAAAGCTTTAGTCCAAAACAAAACTGTTCCGTGCCTCTGTCTTTGCTGGACTCTGGAGGCAAAAAGGACAGTCTGCCTTACATCCCCCACCAAATAAATCTTCCACCGTGGGACCGCATGACAGTGCAGGGTGGTCAGCATCCTAAGCCTGAATGAGCCAGAGAAGCAGAAAGAAGCAGAGGCCGGGGCCTGAGCGCGGCTCACCAGAGAGGCCGAGCAGAGGAAGACAGCAAGAATGAGCCCGGGTGCCTGCAGACACTCCCGCAGAGGCTCCACCAGCCACCAAGCGCGCGAACTGTGCCTCAGGTTCCTTATCTATTAGCTCAGTTCAGTCGCTCCGTCGTGTCCGACTCTTTTCGACCCCATGAGCTGCAGCAGGCCAGGCCTCCCTGTCCATCACCAACTCCTGGAGCCTACCCAAACTCATGTCCATTAAATCAGTGATGCCATCCAACCATTTCATCCTCTGTCGTCCCCTTCTCCTTCTGCCCTCAATCTTTCCCAGCATCAGGGTCTTTTCCAATGAGTCGAGCTCTTCGCATCAGCTGGCCAAAGTATTGGAGTTTCAGCTTCAGCATTAGTCCTTCCAATGAACACCCAGGACAGATCTCCTTTAGGATGGACTGGCTGGATTCTCCTTGCAGTCCAAGGGACTCTCAAGAGTCTTCTCCAACACCACAGTTCAAAAGCATCAATTCTTTGGCACTCAGCTTTCTTCACAGTCCAACTCTCACATCCATACATGACCACTGGAAAAACCATAGCCTTGACTAGATGGACCTTTGTTGGCAGAGTAATGTCTCTGCTTTTTAACATGCTGTCCAGGCTTATCTACTAAATAGGATAATAACAGTACCCACCTATACTAAGTAAATTAACAGGTGTACATTACGTGAATTACTGTACCAAGATTGGTGCTTGGCAGAGTAAGCACTGCACAGTGCCGCTATTATTGCTCTGCCCCAAACCTCTCCACAAGTCCCCCTGGGATGGGCAGCGGGGACCCCGCCCACATGCGTCTCATTTAAGGTGCTATTTATGGCTCCAGGCGCTGGGTAGAGTGGCACCCAGAACACCAGAGAGAAGTGGGCTTTGAGGCTTTGGCATGTTAGCCCCAGGTCGCCCTCTCCCTTCCCACCACCCAGACAGCTGGGGGCAGGGTGCACATGTCCAGAGAGAAGGAAGCCGTCCATCCTCCCCACGTCTGATTCGAGTGCCCAGAGGGAGGGATGAAAAAGCCTGACTCAGGCACAGAACGTGGTGCCCACGTGTGGGGCACCCTGGTGAGTAAGACCTTCTCTGCCCTCCCAGCAGAAGGGCGGCACCTCTGCCGTGGGCAGGCTCACCCACACGGAAGGAGGCTACCTGGGCGCTCAGCAGGCCGGAAGAAATGAGGAGGACTTGGGGAGGAAGACCGCTGTCACGGGCCGAGTCCCAGCAAGCACCTGAGCACAGAGCTGGCGGCCAGCAAGCAGCAGCCTCGGAGGAGCCGGGAAAGGGGAGCCCCCCGAGTCAGCAGGAGCCCACACACCCGCCCCACGAGGACGCATCCTGTTCTCTGAGTGAGAAAACAAGCGAGCAGAGAGACTAAGCTCCAGGTCGCAGTCTCTGAGCTGGCTGCTCCCAGCAGCGCTGGATTCTGAGCCCCATTCTCAATGCGCCCGGAGGCCCTTTCCCACGACCCTGAGGAAGGGCAAAGGGCAAAACATCTGCCCAAGAGTATCCATGATACCAACAGCCACCATCAGGAGCTGAAAACTACACAAGCCTGAAAGCACAAAGCAACTCTTTAACCCTGAAATCCCAAAATTCAAGAATTTTACCTTATGGCACTAATCATAGGCGCTTTAACACTATATATATTCTAAGAATTGCTTACTTTAACCAGAAATGAGTAACAAACTGAATGCCCAGCAACACGCAACAGAGATGCTTTTTCAGGAGTTTATCTACATGATCTTCAATCATTAAAATAATGTTTCAGAAGAATATTTAAGGGGAAATGGATCTCTAAGTGCTTTAGTCACCTTGACATTGCCAACAGTAGCGCTTTATTTTTTCTTTTGTAGCACAAATCTCCATCTGAAGTTTCCTTAAGTCTGTCTGACAGTCAGTGAAAAAAGCAACGACAACGAGGTGGGTGAACCGACAGCCTGTTATACAGAGTGAAGTTAAGTTAGAAAAAGAACAAGAAATATCGCCTAGTAAAGCACATATATGAAATCCAGAAAAACGGTGCCGATGAACCCTGCAGGACAGGAACGGAGTCGCAGACGTGAGAGCGGACCTGTGGCCACGGCGGGAACGGGACGGCGGGACGGGTGGAGGCTCACGGCCGCGTGCGGTCAGAGCCGGTGGGGGCTGCAGCACAGGGCGCCCAGCCTGGGCTCCGCGTGCGGTCAGAGCCAGTGGGGGCTGCAGCAGAGGGTGCCCAGCCTGGGCTCCGCGTGCAGTCAGAGCCGGTGGGGGCTGCAGCACAGGGCGCCCAGCCTGGGCTCCGCGTGCGGTCAGAGTCGGTGGGGGCTGCAGCACAGGGCGCCCAGCCTGGGCTCCGCGTGCGGACAGAGCCGGTGGGGGCTGCAGCACAGGGCGCCCAGCCTGGGCTCCGCGTGCGGACAGAGCCGGTGGGGGCTGCAGCACAGGGCGCCCAGCCTGGGCTCCGTGTGTGGACAGAGCCGGTGGGGGCTGCAGCACAGGGCGCCCAGCCTGGGCTCCGCGTGTGGGTCAGAGCCGGTGGGGGCTGCAGCACAGGGCGCCCAGCCTGGGCTCCGCGTGCAAACAGAGCCAGTGAGGGTTGCAGCACAGGGGGCCCAGCCTGGGCCCTGCAGTGAGCTGGGGAGGGCGCTCAGAGGGAGGGGCACCTGTGTGCTTTCAGCTGACTCGGCGTGCTATACACAGAAATCAACACGACACTGTAGGGCGGTGCTCCTCCAACTAAAAGCCTTAAAATGATCCTCTAAAAAAACTTTTAAGTGCAGTCCTATATGTATATTTATAAGTATAGTCCTATATGTATATTTGCATATGTATACATATGTATATTTATTTATATTTGTATGTATACATATCCAAATGTATAAATTAGCACGCATATACATGGAAAGGCAGTCACACTCAGTAAAACGTTAGTAACAATGTATCTGAAAGATATGATAACAGGTGCCTTAATTTTCTTTACTGTATCTTTATTCTCTAAGTGACTCATAAGTAGCATGTATACTTTTTAAGGAGCCAGAGAAGCTGAGTTGTCTGCATTTGACTTGGAGGCTGTCCCTCAAACCCCTGGGCCCGGTGGCTGGGGAACAGCGGCTGTGGGCGCCCAGGCGGCTCTGCCAGGGGCTGCGCTCTGGAGTCGTGAGCAAGGCAGTGGCTCATGCCCAGCGAGCACCCGCTGCTGCGCAGGCCCCCGTGGAGAGGAGACAGCAGGCCTGCAGTGTGAGCCACCCGCTCCTGCTCACCCAGCATCCCTCTCGCCTCCCGAGCATCCCGGCTGGGAGTGGGGCATCCGTATTGGCTGAAAGATCACAGGACCGCTCCTCTCATTCAGCCTGAAACCGGGGGAACGGCCCCCACAGCCCTGGATGGCGAACAAGGAGGCCTGCGGAGTCACAAGGCTGCACGCTGTCCTGGTACCATGTGCGATCTCTGTGAAGAGCGGGGTCCCCCAGGGGCCCCCCCCCGGGTCTGCAGCCATCACGGGGGCGGGAGACACACGGCCCTCGCATCCCCTGACCGCCTCTCCCCCGGCGGCACACGTCACATGCTGGCGTGGAAGCCGCTGGACACAACGGAGAACACAACAGCGTGAGCCTGTTCCCCACGGGGCTTACACCTAGTGCAGGAAGCACGCGACGAACAAATGTTTTATTTTTTTTAAATTACACATTATGATTTGTGCTATAAAAGACATAAGTCATGTGCTGTCACAGAAGCAGCAGTGCTGCTGACCAGGAACCTCTTTTCCCCAGATTTCAGAGAGACAAAAGGATGCAGAGGTGTCTCTAGTCTCTCTTCACTCAGCTCAGCTCAGGTCAGGAGACAGCAGACATGGACAAGTCTTGGGTGAAATGATGGTTTTCCGCTACATCCACAGAGGCAGAGAGTAGGATCCCCGTCTAGAACCTCTGCCCAGCTCAGAGAGGAGCAACTGATGGACCTCCCCTAGGAACCGATCGAAACAGAAATCGAACAGCACATTTTTTTTCAACCTTTGAAGGCGAGAAAGTCACTGAAATAAAAGACACGTGGAAGGACATCATCAGGGTCCTACATGTTGGCACACATATTCCCAAACATTTGGTTGGGAGGTAAAAGCGATTTTCTATATTGTTTACTGATTTTCATTAATGTGATAGGGGGAAATCCCAACCCAAAGCAAAGCTAAAACTTACCGCGGGGAACCCAGGACCCAAAGCCTTCACAGCCCTGAGCCACTCTGCCTGGGAGGGCGTGACCTTCCCTGCAGTTCAGCCTCAGCCTCGCTCTTGCTTTCCTGGGCAGACAGAAAGGACCAGCCTCCAACAAAAAGGCAAGAGGCTTACAAGTTATGCTTATAAATGACACATTTTTTAAAATATTTGCAACACGTGCTAGCCAAAGGTTAACTTAACTCTGGCAAATCAATTGTAAAAGATTAACAATCCAACATAAAATTGGCCAAAGAATAGACAGCTCAAAAGAAGAGAAAATCAAACGAAAGAAGGTTGTTGCAACTCATTGAAAGAGAAATGTTTATAAAACATAACAATAATTTCACCAGAATGGCAAATTTTCTTTTTTTAATATTTGACCAATAACAAAACAAAAGAAGGAATTCTCTGGCAATCCAGTGGTTAGGACTCTGAGCTTCCACTGCAGAGGGCGTAGGATCCATGGCTGGTCAGGGAACTAAGACCCTGCAAGCCATCCAACGAAAAAACAAACTCCTGAACATGTGCAAAGATTCTTAAGGAAAAGGCACTCTCTCATACACACAACAGGGATATAAACCAGTATATTTTTGGCTATGTCTATCAAAATCGTAATGTTCAAACCTTAGGCCCATTAACTACTTAGCTAGGAAATCATTCAACAAATATGTTCCCAAAGCATCTTAATGGCAAAAAAACTGGTCATATCCTAAACTTCTACCACTAAGGAACTGATCAGAGAGGTGGCACACAGGACGGAGGCAGGCACAGCCTGCTGCAGGGAGAGGCAGTGGCGCGTTCACCACTGGGAGGGGACTGAGCGTTAATGAGCCGGAAAGCAGAGGAGAACAGGAGGATCCTGTGTTTTCATCTATGTTCTATTTCTTTTTAATGGAGCTGAATTCACACTGCTTAGGTGACTTTTAATGCATGTTCACAAACACAAGCTGCGACCACACTGACAGGTTCATCAGTGGCGGGCAGAGGAGCCGTCCTGAGCAGGGTGGATGCCATGCTCGCCACCAATGGTCCCGCAAGCCAGAAGCATACATGGTGGTGCCACAGGCAACATTTTCTTTTTTGCGGTTTTTAAATTTCCAAAAATAAAAAAAGTACTAAACAGAATATAAAATATACCACTTGGGTGGTTGTTTGTTTTGATTAATTAAGGCAGAGGGATACGAGATACAGACTCGTGGATGTTTAACACCTTTCTGGAGGCTAAATAACCTCCCCCAAAAATATCCACAGTGCTGACCAAAAGGGACAGGTTACTAGAAAGAAGCTTATATTTTTCCATCTTCCCCCCTTTTCATTTTATATTTTTCTGTATTGTTTGGATCTTTATCATCCGCATGTAGTTCTTCTTAAAAATTAAGTCTAGGCACTCTCAACAGGTGCAGTATGCTTTGGTCCTACATTTGACCACCAGCCTGAGTCCCCCAGAAGCAAGTCCACCCTCTTGGTAGAGCAGAGGAGCAGAGATGGGGACCCCTCGTGGACCACAGCCGGCGGGTGGAGCCCTGCTGGTACGCAGAGTCTGAGGGTACGCAGAGGGGAGCCCAGGTGATGAGACCTGCCGTCCTCTTGGAGAGCACATAACCCGAATATGGCTCTCCTGGTGGCTCAGCGGTGAAGAATCCGCTTGCCATTACAGGAGACGTAGGTTCAATCCCTGGAAGGGAAAATGGCAAGCCACTGCAGTATTCTTGCCTGGACAAGCACATGAACAGAGGAGCCTGGTGGGCTACAGTTCATAGGGTCGCAAAGAGTCGGACACGACCTGGCGACTAGAGAGCAACAGCAATAACCCGAACATGATAAAGAGCAGGCGAGGCCTCGGACCACACTGCTGGCCACTTCTGACTCATCTGGAAAAAAGCCCTGCAGCAGCGTGGACGCCAACCACGAGGGGGTCTTGGGAAGGAACAGAAAAGCCACGGGACACAGAGAGTCCTGTTTCTTCCAGCAGACAGAAAGAGAAAGAAGAATCTTCATGTGCAGAGCACCGACCAGGCATCAGGTGTACTCTAACTACAGAAAATACGCTGCATTTAAGCCTCCTCACACGCCTCTGCTGCTGCTGCTAGGTCACTTCAGTCGTGGCCGACTCTGTGCGACCCCATAGACGGCAGCCCACCAGGCTCCCCTGTCCCTGGGATTCTCCAGGCAATAACACTGGAGTGGGTTGCCATCTCCTTCTCCAATGCATGAAAGTGAAAAGTGAAAGGGAAGTCGCTCAGTCGTGTCCGACTCTTAGACACCCCATGGACTGCAGCCCACCAGGCTCCTCCGTCCACGGGATTTTCCAGGCAAGAGTACTGGAGTGGGGTGCTATTGCCTTCTCCACACAGGCCTCTGGAAACAGTCAATTGCTGATTACATTTACAGGTGTGACGACAGGGCAGGTAAGGCAACTTGCCCCAGGTCA